CTTACGCGGCCTCGCGCGGCCAAACCGCGTGAACGCACAATGATCGTTTTCACGAGAAGAATGGGTCACCCCACACCCTCGTCGGCGACCCTGACTTGGGTGCTGCCCCAGCGGATGGCTGGAAGAGCGAGGTCATCACCCGTGCGGGGGGGGGGGGGGGGCTCAGCTTGCCGTTGGCACCACCCTGGTGTTGGCCTTATCTTCTTCTGCGGAGGTCCGCCGAGCGGACAGGGCCGCTTTGCGCACCTGGCATGCGCACGGAGCGCACGTACCCCGAGCTTCTCGCGTCGCAGGCCGGCTCGTGGTTTGACTTCACAATGGCACGGCCAAAAAATCTAGAAGACGACTGGCCCGAAAGCATTGAAAGCTATGTGTGTTGAAGGGATAAACTTGCGAGTGAGTTTGGCGAACATTCTTCAACAGCCGCAGCTATTTTGCCCGACGCGAAGCCCATTGTCTGTTCCTCCCTGCGTGGCCCTTACGCAAGACAGCGTCCAAGTCACGCAGGCAAGGCTCGAAAGGGATCTGCGCAGCTGTGTGAAATCACTCGTCACACAAGCGCTTCAGCGCGAGGACCACGTAGTCGCGCTTGCGCCAGGGCCGCAGCTCAGGGCGCGCAGCCAGCAAGCTTTCGAAGGCTTCGAACTTATGGACGGCGGGAATTTACTCCGCGTACTACTTGTGTACTTAAAATTCCCGATTTTGTAGCGCGCACGAGGCGGCACATTTCTCGCACGCGCCCGCGCCAGCCGCTGCACGAAGTCCACGGTTTCCGGGCTGAAGCGCCCGCCAACCTCAAGCGCAAGGACCACCAGCCTGCAGCGCGAGTCAGGGCGAAGGAGCTCCGGGTATGTGCGCTCCTTGGCCCGTCGGGCTTGGCGCAGGGCTGCGCCCTCGGCTCGGTTCTGGTAGCGCCGCGGGGCACCTGTAAAGGACAAGGCCGACACCAACGTGGTATCCACAGCAAGTTGCATGCCACCCCACAGGGGTAAGCCATTGGCTATGACTTCAATCCGCCGGTCATCTCCGGGCACGCTGCCGACATTGAGGTCCCTGACATAGCAACCACGGCCCCCGCTTCACGACAAATGCGCGCTGCCGCCCGTTCAAGTGGGCCGCCCCGTGCTCGCAAGACACCAGATCGCGGACATGCAGAGCGGTGATTTTTTTCCTTTTTCCCTCGCGCCTTTTTCCGCAGCGTCTCTGTCGCAATTAAGGGGGGGCCCGGGCACTAGGGTTCTGCAAACTGTTTTTTAGGAGGCCAGCTTCCCCACCTGCACGCTGTTTTTACGGAGGGCAGCATCCTCGCGTGCACACGACGGCCAGCGGGCCGGCAGCCGCGACGCCCCCGGGGAAGATGGGCACGCCGCGAGAAGGTCACTCAAGTCCGGGCAAGGCCCATCAAGGTTGCTCAGGCCAGGCGAGGGCAAGGAAGTGAGGCTGTCAGCAAAGGCAAGCGCAGCTGCAGCGTACAACAAGCCGGACCATCGGTGGACATAAGCACTTCGAAGGGCAGGGCGAAGGGCCTCCGGCGCGGCTGGGGCCTGGCACGCGCGAGGAGGCGGAGAAAAGAGGCGGCTCTGACCCCCAGCGGCCTCCGACCTCTACACCGATCACAACCAGGCGGCAGCGGGCGCTGGCAAGAAGCTCGGGGTAGGTTGCTTCCTTGCGGCGCCGGGCCTCCAGAAGGGCGACGGGTCGGGCCGGGTCGCGCCGAGAACGGGCCTCCCCAGCGGCGGTGAGCGGGGACACAATGGTCGTGTCAACCGCGAGCTGGGCCCCATTCCACAAAGGGAGCCCGTTGGCGATGACCTCGATGCGACGGTCATCAAAGCGAGAGACCGCCACATTGAGGTCACGGACAAGGGTGTTCGTGGTCACTCGAGCCCCGCCTCGCGGCACACGCGGGCTGCTGCGCGCTCGAGCGGGCAGCCTCGACTCCGGAGTGCACCAGACCGGGAGCACGCTGCACGGTGGTCGCCAGGAGGGTCAAGAGGGCGACGACACCGACAGGTGCGGGCGGGCAGGGGCAGGGGGAGGCGGAGGCGCCGCAGGAGGAGAGCACGCAAGGGTTCGGAGGGGAAGGTGAGCTCAGGGCAGGTCGGAACGCTGGTGAAAGGCCGACTGCTGCATGGGCCAGTCTGGGAAAACAGAAGGGCCTGCAAGGGCACATCCAACTGAGCCAGGAGCTCCGTTTGGAGATGCGCGGCGACTGCGGCCGCAGCTGGCGCCTGCCAGCCCCGCGCGCTGGGTTCGGGCAAGTGGTCGCCTGGCTCATTGGACTGGGGGGGGGGGCTTGGGCACCGAGGGTCACGGCATCCCATGTGGGCAAGTCAAACCCGGCCGCAGCAAGCGTTGCCTGTGACCGAAGCACGCCTCGGAGGGTGGGGCCGACGGGCTCGCCGGCTCCAAGCCTGGCAACAACGTCGGCGGCGAAGCGCGGGAGCTGGCGGTGCAGCACGGCAAGAGTGTCGGCCCACGAGGCCCAATACGCGGCCGGAGCGAGGGCGACCGCGGACCGCAGGTTGAGGCCACTTTGCTGGAAAGGGAGCTGGGCAAGGCGGAGCGCGTGGTCCGGGAGCGGGCCGGCCCCCAACAAATCCGCAAGGCAGGCGGTGACAGCCGCGTCATGGGCTTCCGCAAGTGCGAGCGAAGCCACAGGTGGCAAGGACCGCAGAAGGTGACAGCAGCGCGGGGTAGCACAAAACAGAAGCAGCAACCATGCGGACGCGAGCGGATGCCCTGAAGGAGCGAGTCCTGCTTGGCGCGTGTGGCTTGCAACTGGGTAGCAACATATGCAGGATGGCCACAAGTGCAACGAGCCCCTGTTGCTCGGGCGGCAAGGCTGGGTCACCGACCCACACCGGGGCGTCAGTGGAGCCAAGCTCACGGATGCCTGGCGGCTCGAGCCCGGCGGCGTTCCAAGCCCTTGTTTTGCCTTGGTGGACTTCGATGCGCGCATGCCGGAACAGGTGCTGGGACAGTAGGTCGAAAACCACACGGGCCCGGGCTGAGGATGACATTTGAGGTAGGCAAACACGAGCTCCCCTGGGCGAAGGTGGCGCTGGAGTTTTACCAGGGCCGGGTGCTGACCCAATGCATAGAGTGCTGGCATGAGCGGGTCGCCTTGTTCGCCGCCTTCTGCCTGGTCGATCGCGTGCAGCATCATGCCACACAAACCGAGAGGGTGCCGTGTAAAACTGCCGCACGAAAGGGAGACAGGCGCTAGCACCGGGCACGCGGGAAAGACTGCGGAGCATTGCCAGGCGGCTGACGGTGTCAAAAGCCCCAACCCCATCCACGGACAGGATTGTGGCATCAGGATCTGCCTCCGTGGCGGCCTGGAGGGCGTGTGCAAGAGCTTCGGTTCCGGCGCGCGTGGGGAGGGCGAACAGAAACGGCTGGCAGGCCTCCGGCAGGTTGGACGAAAAGAATTGGGCAAGGGAACGGGCCACAAGCCGACGAAGGAAGTCACCGACCACTATGCCCCTGACACGGCCATTTGGTTTCTGCAGCGCCACGATGCGGCCAAGGCCAATGGCGGCGGCGATGCCAGGGGGAACCTGCGCCCGTGCGAGATCAGTGGCTGCTCGGACGAAAGCAAGACCAGATGCTTCGTCATCCAAAACAAGGCGGCGCAACTCCGAGGTGTGGCCACTGGGGCCCGCTGCTGCTCCTTTACGGGCACGGCGCAGGTTTGCAAGGAGCGTGTGGGCGGAGAGCGCGGCAGGGGCCTCAGGCTGGAATTCCAAAAGCGCCGGGTCCAGGGGCTCGGACCGGCCCCGTGATCAACGGTCAGTCGCCTTGGGGGGACCGGCCCCGTGATCAACGGTCAACAGCCTGGGGGAACCGACGTGGACCGCAGGACCGTTCCAGTGTAAGCCAGCGGTCAACCGTGCCATGTCCGCGCCTGCTGCATCAGGGCCCGAGTTTGTGCCCTCCTCGCCGGAATTGCGTTCTGGCACCGCACACATTGGCACGCACGAGGCGGTCACCGTGGCTACGCCTCCCATCCCAAGTGGGGAAGTCACCCCGGGCTTCCAGCCATGCCCGCCGCAATATGTAGATGTTTGCCCTGCTTGCCTTGGTCCGGTTGTGCCGGAGGGGGCCGGCCCGGCAACGGCATGCCGCTGGCCTGTATGCGGGCATTCATACCATGCCTTGTGCCTTGCTCGTTCCCGTGCCCACGTGCAGCGCATGCAATGCGCCCTATGCTGGCAAGGTTGGCGACCGGCCTTTGACAGCGACCTTGATTTCTTATGTGGCCAGCTTGGAATTGATTGGCACGCCCTGCAGCTGCATGACCCTGTGCCTGTCCAGCCCCCGCCCTCTGCTGGTGTTGCTTCTGTTGACGCTGACGTTGCTATGGCTCCCGCGGCCCCCGAGCTTGATGCTTTTGTTGCCTCAGCTCCCGTTGCGCCTGCGACCCTTGAGCCCGCGCTTCAGCCAGCGGTAGGTCCTCACACCTGGACAGCTGCCCGGCCCCCCCCCCCTGCAGAGGGCCAAGTGCCTCCGGTCAACAGTTGGTTTTTCGTGCCGCTCCTTCTTGCCGGCGGAGGCCTTTTGCTCCAAAATGCAGAACGCCAATCGTCGGCTCATCCCGTTTTCGCCGTCGGTTGGCAGGCGGCTGTGTCTCAACTCCGTCGTTCACCGCCGGTGCCTCTGTCTCGGTTCCTGTCTGTCCTTGAGGCCCTGCAGGATGTTGCTGCCTTGGATGGTCGACGCGTTCTTGCTGGTGCCGTCGCTCCGTGAGGCGGGCACTGCCTTGCCGACCCACACGCTTGTGCATTTTCGGTGGGTTTTGGAGCGATGCCTTACACCACATAGCTATGTCCCTGCCTCCGCTCAGGAAGCGTTGCAGCAGGTCTTCCTCAGCGAGCGTGTTGCTTCTGACTTGTCTGTGTTGGCTGATCGTTTGAGCGAGTGCCATTTTGGCTCAAGCCTCTTCATCGTGTTTAGTTTCGCTCTGTTTGCCCCCCAGTCCGCGTAGCGGATCTCCTATGGCCGACGTACCCTTGTGGTTGGGAGCAGCGGCAGGATGGCTGGCGCCTGGGTGGTCGGCCTTGTTCAATGCTGCCTCCTCGGCTTTTGCCTTCACCGCGTCCTTGCCCGCGACGTGCCGGCAAAGTGTGGCCCATGCTTTGCTGGCGTGCTCGGGGGAGGCCCCGGTGTACTTCACCACCGGGTTTGGCCCCCTGAGCGCATGGGGCTGGGCTTGCGTCGGGGGCGCGGCCGGGCTGCTGCTGGGCGTGGCTCTGGGCATTTTCGCGGCCCACGGATGGCGGCACAGGGTGCTGCAGGCCCGTCGGTTAGCGACCTCGCCCCTGGAGGAGCAGGGCTTTTGCTCCGACGCTCAGGCTGCCATGGAGGCTGCGGCCGCCGTCTTGGAAAGCTTCCGTAGCCATTTTGGCTCAAGCATTTTGGCTCAAGTTTCTCAAGGTGTTTAGTGTCGCTCTGTTTGCCCCCCCAGTCCGCGTAGCGGATCTCCTATGGCCGACGTACCCTTGTGGTTGGGAGCAGCGGCAGGATGGCTGGCGCCTGGGTGGTCGGCCTTGTTCAATGCTGCCTCCTCGGCTTTTGCCTTCACCGCGTCCTTGCCCGCGACGTGCCGGCAAAGTGTGGCCCATGCTTTGCTGGCGTGCTCGGGGGAGGCCCCGGTGTACTTCACCACCGGGTTTGGCCCCCTGAGCTTGGCATGGGGCTGGGCTTGCGTCGGGGGCGCGGCCGGGCTGCTGCTGGGCGTGGCTCTGGGCATTTTTGCGGCCCACGGATGGCGGCACAGGGTGCTGCAGGCCCGTCGGTTAGCGACCTTGCCTCTGGAGGAGCAGGGCTTTTGCTCCGACGCTCAGGCTGCCATGGAGGCTGCGGCCGCCGTCTTGGAAAGCTTCCGGCTCGGCGGCGCACAGGAGGTTCGCACAATCGCACGCGGTGCGGGGTGCTCTTCCGAAACGCTGCTTTGCCAACTCTTGCGGCAAGCGCTGGCAGGGGCGGCGGCGGCACAGACGCTGGCAGGGCCGGCGCCGGCGGGTCAGCTGCTGCCCGCCCAGCCGCCGGACGTCGGAGGGGCGAGGCACCGCGGGGGAGGCCGTCGTTCGAGCCGCAACGCGGCGTGACCGCAGGAGGGGCTGCGAGGCTAAGCGGCCCTCAGGCTGCCGTCCTGCGCCGCTGCGGAGGGTACCTTGTTGCTCGGGGCGTCATCGCGCGACGGTGCGGCGGCCGTGAGGCTGCTGACGGCGTGTGTTTCTGGACGTCGCGCGTGCAAATGACATGCGTCCCTGAGGCGGGCTGCCGAGCTGGAGCGGCCTGTTGGGGCTGGGGATTGGGGGCGGCTGCTGCACTTTTTGCCCGACGTGTGCGTGCGCATTGCGGCCCCTGGGCGGGCTGCCGAGTCGGAGAGGCCAAAAACCCGGGGCCCGGGGAGGCCGATCAGTTGGTGACGCAGCGTGCGTTTGCGGCGGCCGCCCTGTCCAGAGCGGGCATATCAGTGCCCGGACCCGCCGGCCCGATGGGCTGGCGCACGCCCAGCCTTTGGAGTGATGCCTCAGGCGATGTTCCCGCGCTCGGGGGTGGCGCAGGCCCGGCAATGTCTCTCCCACTAGCCACAGTGAGCGTGCCCTCGTCTGAAGCGGCCACGTTGCTCGATGAGACGCCCCGCGTTGACGAGCCCGAGGGGCCGATTGGTGGAGAGGCCGCCCCGGGCCAGCCTGGCGCCGTGACGCCGGGCTACGCGCCCGCCTCTCCCCCACGCTCCTTTAGCCCGCCCCGCCCCGCCTCTTGGTGGACACGTGGGCCTCCGTCGGGCGCTGTTTCCACTCGAGGCAATTCCTGGTTGTACGTGCCCTTGCTCCACGCTGCCGCCGGCACCTTGGCCCGCACTGCTTTTGAGGAGTGGACGCAGCAGACAACGTGGCCGGGGTGGCTGCCCATGGTGCAACACTTGCAGGAGGCGGCCCCAGCAGATGTAGACGCCGTCCGTCTCGTGCTGCGGGGGCTGGGGGCGCATCAGGCGGCCGAGCGGCTACCGGACACAACCAGTCGCGCCGTGTCCTTGCCGCTTGCGGCCATCGCTTCTTCCCTCGTCGAAGCTGATGGGTACTTCCACGCGGCGGTGCAAGAGACGCTGGTTGAGGCCTTTGCTGGCCAGGAGGCGGCGGCGCAGCTCCTGCGCTCCGCAGACGCCTTCCGCCTAGTCTCTGCCACGCGACCGGAACTTCACCCGAGTGTGGAGGCAACGCCGGAGTTGGAGCCAGGCGAAGGCAGCTTGCCCACACGGCGCGTGCAACAGGGTCGGCGAAGGGGTGCCAGGGGCGGCGCCCGCAACCAGGTGGATGTGGCCGAGGCGGCAATGCAGCGAGGACTGGACGCCTTGAACGACATCGACCTTGCTGCTGTACTCCGCGTCCGCACGTTGACGCTGCAGGGGGTCCCGGGCTGGCTGCGCGGCCTCCTCGCTTTCGCGTTGCGCGCCGGCCTTAGGCTGATCCGGGATGCGCCGGGGGACGCACGCGCGCAGGAAACAGCGGGGTGGAAGTTGTTCATGCTTGCTCCGAGGATGCTGCTGTCCCGGGCGCGCGGCCAAGCACGGATCGCCCCTGCGGACCTGGAACAGAGGGTGCGTTTGTTCAAGGCGGGCGAGTGGGCCCAGTTGCTGCAACCGGCGCAAGCCCCGGCTGGGGTCACATCCGGCCGACCCCCGCCCGACTCGCTTGAAGCGAGGGGCGAGCGGGCTGCGGCCCTGGCTCACTTGGGCGAACTCTCGGCCGCAGCTCGGGCGCTGACGGCGGAGCCGCTGGCGCCAGGCAATGAGGAGACGCTGCAGGAGCTCCGGGACCCCGCCCGCAGACCGCAAGTCCCGCGAGTGCCGGTCCCTGAAGCCGTCCTCCAACACCAGCCAAGCGAGCCAGTGCGGCTGTCGTGGGGCGCCTTCGTCAGCAACGTGCGCCGTGCGCGCCGCGGCGCGGCCCCTGGACCGTCGGGCTGCACCAATGAGCATCTGCGCTTGCTTTTGGAGACGGAAGAGGACATGCAGCTGCTCCACCATGCGGCGCAAAGACTCGCGCTAGGGGACGTTCCCGACACCATCGCCCGGGCGCTTCGCCTGGGCCGCATGGTGGCGCTGCGCAAGCCGAACGGTCGAGTCCGCGGCCTGGTGATGGGGGACACCTTCCGCCGACTCGTGGCCCGGACGCTGGCGCAGCAGTTTTCCGCCGCCTTCGACACAGCTTGCCGGCCCTTCCAGTTCGCCCTCGGGACTCGGGCCGGAACGGAGGCTGCTGCCCGAGCCGTCCGCGCCCTGTGTGAAAGGGATCCGCGCGCGACGGTGGTCAGCATCGACGGTGTCGGGGCGTATGACCACGTCCACCGGGCAAGTATGTTGGGGGGCCTCGCGGGTGACACTGCGCTCGCCCCGTTGCTCCCCTTCGCCCGCCTCTTCTACGCGGAGCACAGCACGTACCTCTGGTATGACGCTGCGGGCGTGGCGCACGACATCGCCCAGGCGGAAGGGGGCGAACAAGGAGACCCGCTGATGCCAGCTCTCTACGCGCTCGGGCAGCATCCGGCGCTGGTGGCGGCTGCCGCCACATTGCTCCCCGGAGAGACCGTCTTCGCTTACCTCGATGACGTCTACGCTGTGTGTCAGCCAGAACGGGTACACGCGGTTGCCAACGTTGCCCGAGTGGCTTTGCGGGAGCATGCGGGCATAGAGGTGCACCTCGGCAAGACGCGCGTCTGGAATGCGGCTGGCGAGGAGCCGGCTGGCGTCCATGCACTGCAGGGGCCGGGCGGGGCAGACCTGTGGGTTGGCGCCTGGACGCTCCCGCCTGAGCGGCGCGGCCTGGTTGTTCTGGGCACTCCGGTGGGCCATGCCGCCTTCGTCCAGGCCCATTTGCGCCAAAAACGCGCGGAGCAACAACAGCTGCTCGACCGCATCCCCTGTGTGCCGGACTTGCAGGCGGCGTGGCTGGTGCTCCTCTACTGCGCGCGGCCGCGGTGCAATTACTTGCTGAGAGCATTGCCCCCGGCTGACACAGCTGCGTATGCTGCGGGCCACGACGACGCCCTCGCCGCTTGCTTGAGCCGCTTGCTCGCCGGGGATGGGCCTGGTGGCCGCCCGGCGCTGGAGGGTGCCGAGTTGGGCGAGCTGCAGCTGCGGCGAGCGCAGTTGCCTCTGGTGCATGGCGGCCTTGGCTTGCGAGCGGCGCACCGCGAGCGCTTTGCGGCGCATTGGGCGTCCTGGGCCGACTGCCTCCCGGTCCTCCGGGCACGTCTGCCGGCGCTTGGGGCGGACCTCCTCGCTGCGCTGAACGAGGGGGGTGGTGGGCTGCCGTGCGTGGCCCAGGCCGTCCAGGCGGCATCTACGCTGCCACCGGACTTCCACAGGCCCACGTGGCAAGGGCTATGGGATGGAGCGGCGCCGGGCCAAGGGCCTGGTGAGCCCGGAGACTTCCTCCGCGGCTGGCAAAAAGAGGCCACCTCGCTGACCGACGAGGCGGCGCGCGATACGCTGTTTTCAGACCTTGACCTTGCGTCGCGCGCGCTGCTGTTGTCGCAGGCGGGGCCACAGGCGGGGAGAGCCCTGCATGTTCTGCCAACCGCCGCGGAGCTTCGGCTGCCGAGCGACCTGTTCCGCATTGTCCTGCTTCGCCGCCTCCGCATGCCACTGCCCGCAGCTGCCCGCGCCTGCCGCTGCGGGCGCCCCGCAGATGCTTTGGGGGACCATGTCACTGCTTGCCCGACGTCTGGTGTGCTGCGGACAAGGGCTGTCCCCCTTGAGCGGGCGGTCGCGCGCGTCTGCCGCGAAGCGGGGGGGCGGGTGGCCATGCACGTCCGCGTGGCTGAGATGAACGTTGATGTCCCGGTGTCCGATGCCCGGTGCATCGAGATCCTGGCGTCGGCATTGCCGGTGTGGCATGGCGCCCAGGTTGCCATCGACACCACGCTCGTGAGCCCGATCGGGAGGGACGGCCAGCCCAGGGGCCGCAGCGCCAGAGAAGCCGGGGGGGTGCTGGAACAGGCGGCCCGGCGTAAGCGGGAGACAACTTACCCGGAGCTGCTTGCGGCGCGGCGGTGCCGCCTCGTTGTCTTCGGCGTCGAGGTTGGTGGCAGGTGGAACGGCGAGGCGAGGGAGTTGCTGCGCGCCCTAGCCCGTGCCAAGGCGAGGGAGCGGCCTCAGTGGCTGCGGGCCTCGGCTGTGCAGGCCTTCCACCAGCGCTGGTCAGGCATTATTGCCGTTGCGGCGCAGAGGGCGCTGGCTGCCACTCTGGCTGGCCTGCCAGGAGCTGGCCTGGACGCCTTGGATGGCACCGCGCCGCCCTGGCCCGAGGTGCTGGCGGCCGCACGCCTCGGCGAGGCTGAGGAAGCCAGCCGGCTGCCGCTGCGGGCCGGCTGATGGGCCCCGGGCCGTGGCGGCACGACGGCGGGGAAGGCTCCTCCGCCCTTGTCGCCGAAAGCGCTTCACCCTGCTTGCACGAAAAGCAACATGTCTCACCCTCGCTGCACGGAAAAAGGCGCGAGAAAAAAAAAAAAAAAAAAAAAAAAAAGAAAGCTTCCGGCTCGGCGGCGCACAGGAGGTTCGCACAATCGCACGCGGTGCGGGGTGCTCTTCCGAAACGCTGCTTTGCCAACTCTTACGGCAAGCGCTGGCAGGGGCGGCGGCGGCACAGACGCTGGCAGGGCCGGCGCCGGCGGGTCAGCTGCTGCCCGCCCAGCCGCCGGACGTCGGAGGGGCGAGGCACCGCGGGGGAGGCCGTCGTTCGAGCCGCAACGCGGCGTGACCGCAGGAAGGGCTGCGGGGCTAAGCGGCCCTCAGGCTGCCGTCCTGCGCCGCTGCGGAGGGTACCTTGTTGCTCGGGGCGTCATCGCGCGACGGTGCGGCGGCCGTGAGGCTGCTGACGGCGTGAGTTTCTGGACGTCGCGCGTGCGAATGACATGCGTCCCTGAGGCGGGCTGCCGAGCTGGAGCGGCCAAGGCGTGGCGCGGCCGGCCCGTGCCTGCACAAACCCGTAATAGTCAGGCTGCCCCCTCGCACCATGGGTTTTCCGAGGCTGCTGAAAAAGGAAGGGGTTCGCCGGGTACCCTGTTGCCCTCTGGTTCGGTCCCCTTTTGTTCCCTTTTGAATGTACCCTTGCCGACTCGTGTTCGGCTCAGCTTACGCCGGCCTGTAACCCCTGTCTGGCTAGGACCCACATGGCGTGCTCAGCGTGCCGCTTGCGTGACGTGGCGGCTGGGCCACACTGCCGAGCATGCCGGGCACTCATCGACCTGCAGCGGCTGGCGCAGGGGCCAAGCTTGCCAGAGAGCTTGGATCCCGTGGTCACGGCCTTCCTGGAGGGGGTGGTTGGGCTGGTCCGCGGCCTGGCTGAGGCCCACGCGGAGCCGGAGGACTACGAGGAGCCGCCCCGTCCACCGGCCCCGCAGCAGGACCGCGGCCGCAGCAGAGACCGCAGCCGGGGCCGGAGCCGCACCCGCGGCCGCAGCCGCAGCCGCAGCCGCAGCCTGGGGCGCCAAGGAGGTAAGGGACCGAGTCCCGGCAACCACAAGGGCAAGGGCAAGGGCAAGAACAAGGGCAAACGCGGTGGACGTTCTGGCCCGCAGCTCCAGCGGCAGCTGGTCCAGGCTGCTGAGGCGATCCTGGCAGCGGAGGGGCGCCGCTGAGGAGGCCCAAGCTTCACCCAGCCCTACAGCTTGCGCGCGAAGGCGAGACCGTAGGGACGGGTTTTTTAGCAATTGGCTGCCTCGAGCGGCCGGACGGCTGCTATTCGCGGCCGTGACGCTTGCTCGGTGGATGCAAAAAGCGCGCAGGGAGGGGCGGGTGTGTTGGGGCTGGGGATTGGGGGCGGCTGCTGCACTTTTTGCCCGACGTGTGCGTGCGCATTGCGGCCCCTGGGCGGGCTGCCGAGTCGGAGAGGCCAAAAACCCGGGGCCCGGGGAGGCCGATCAGTTGGTGACGCAGCGTGCGTTTGCGGCGGCCGCCCTGTCCAGAGCGGGCATATCAGTGCCCGGACCCGCCGGCCCGATGGGCTGGCGCACGCCCAGCCTTTGGAGTGATGCCTCAGGCGATGTTCCCGCGCTCGGGGGTGGCGCAGGCCCGGCAATGTCTCTCCCACTAGCCACAGTGAGCGTGCCCTCGTCTGAAGCGGCCACGTTGCCCGATGAGACGCCCCGCGTTGACGAGCCCGAGGGGCCGATTGGTGGAGAGGCCGCCCCGGGCCAGCCTGGCGCCGTGACGCCGGGCTACGCGCCCGCCTCTCCCCCACGCTCCTTTAGCCCGCCCCGCCCCGCCTCTTGGTGGACACGTGGGCCTCCGTCGGGCGCTGTTTCCACTCGAGGCAATTCCTGGTTGTACGTGCCCTTGCTCCACGCCGCCGCCGGCACCTTGGCCCGCACTGCTTTTGAG